GAGAGAGAGAGAGAGAGAGAGAGAGAGAGAGGGTGATAACAGCATGCTGAGGGAACTTTAGGTCCAAATTGACTTTTTTTTGGCACATGTTTTTATGACCCCAAGCTTCAAAGAACGCTTGGGGTCGACAATCGAAGGACAATATGCCAAGACGTCAGGGATCGACGCTGTCATCGTGATCAGCCCTTTCGTTCATCTCAAAGGCGAATAATCCAATGTACGGCACATGCCGAGATGCCCTGTACTTTTTCTCATTGTCTTTGATTGTACCTGCATCCTCTCCTTGAGATTTTTTTTTATTTTTATTTTTTTTTTCAAAGCTATATACTCTTCTCTGAATTTCACCTCACACTACCTACCTACCTACCACTACTCCTAATTGTAGGCATAGGGGGAACTCCGTAGCACGTAGCAGCCAGAACCGTGTTCACGAGAGAACATGTGGGGGCTGCTCCCGACCTGCAGGTGGGCGATACTGGCTAGAGGACAGCCGGTAGCATCGGGGACCATGCCAACAGGACCAATCCCTGTGCCTCCCCTCAGGTGGTGGTCCCCTCCCCTACGAACATCAGCAGACTCTGCTCAATGCCAAATGGGGAATCCAGTGGTCTTATCTCTAGGTGGCGGGCGCCAAGCATGCCCAGGAAGGTACATGAGGCCAATGGGGATTGAACCCACGACCTCCTGAATGCCACTTGCGTGCCTTACCAACTGAGTTGTTTTTGTGAGGCAATGATGGAAAACACGATTAAAAAAAAACTACCGTTTCCTGGTATGAGCTATTTAAACTATTTTAATATTTTCTACTTCACTTGTGAGTCCAAACTGCTGCCACGTGTAAGTACCTCGTGACATCCAACGGTGGATGTATCGACTCCTTTCACTTTAGCACTGCATTCTGTTCTCGGTTACTCCTATATACTATATAGTATATAGTCCTATATACTATATAGCTATGCTACCAGAGTGGCCCGGATCCACTTGCCCGGCCGGGCCAAAAAGAAATAAAAAAATAAAACATAAGAAATTATTTTTTTTATTAAAAATTTTATTTCAAATTTGGTAAAGTATTTCGATGTGATCCTGAGGCAGAAGTTGTCCAGTTTATTTTTCTCCATAACATAGTTTTTTTTCGGATTTTTCGGATTTTGTGTTTTTGGCTGGGTCCTTCCCTGGTCCTTGCACGGCCGGGTCGCCCTGGAAAATAGGGTGACCCCGGCGGCCCGGCTGGTAGCCTAGGTATATAGTTCTATATAGTATATACTATATAGCATATACTCATCCTCTTCTGGATGTGATTGCCAACTCCAGTCCGAAGTATGCATCTTCGTCTCATCGCCCTCGACTCGGGAGTGATGGTTAATGGAGACCCAAAATTTCAGCCTGTTTTTTAATGCTATTCATAAGAAAAGCCGAAGGCCTTTTTAACCAAAAATTTCATCATTCGATAGAGTGCACACCATACTAACTCCCCGCCCCCCCCCCCCCCCCCCCCCCCCCCAAAAAAAAAAACAAAAAAAAAAAAAAAAAAGAGGGTGAAATGGTAAGGCAAAAGTGCACTTGAATGAATATTTGTTTTCAGAGATTTTCAGAATTTTCAGCGTTCTTTGGAAATGGTCATCACACTGACCACAGACAATTCCAATTGACAAAAACAGTTCGGAACCTAGGCTACCAGCAGGGCCGCCCGGGTCACCCTATTTGCCCGGACGGCCCGGCCGTGCAAGGACCAGGGAGGGCCCTAGCACAAAAAAAAAAAAAACAGCCAAAAAATCCGAAAAACAAAATGTTACGCAGAAAAATTTACTGAACAACTTTTGCCTCAGGGTCACATTGAAATTCTTTACCAAATTTAAATTAAAAAAAACAGTTAAAAATATTATTTTTCTATTTTTATGTTGCCCGGCCGGGCCACTCTGGTAGCCTAGTTCGGAACATAATTTGAGAAATGGTCACTGGTGACCGGACTCAATTCCAATCACACTCTGACAAGTGCAAGGATGATACACGAGCCTGGTTTATGCCGCCGACTCCAAACAGAACTGCCCGGTAAAACCGTAGGCAGAGAGAGAGAAGAGGACAACAAACGAGGGGCTGTGACAAACTGTTTCGTCGGAGTTTCACCGACTCATCAGGAGGCTGAACCCTCAACAGTCTGCAAAATCCCCTCACTGATTACACTGTAAATGATAATCTACCTTAACCAAAATCAAAGTAGACTATCACTCACCCACACCAGATGGAAAACTCTACAGACTGTATATATATATATATATAGAGAGAGAGAGAGAGAGCAGGTAAGTCTCCAACCTCGCGGCTGTCCTCACGCGACTTCCATCGATAGGATGAGCAAAATCGAATGGATCTTTCGCTAGAACATGGAAATATACACTACTCGCTTTCTCCAATCGATGGCAAAATCCTAAAGACCGCCCGCCAGACAAAGTACCATAAAAGCAGCCTGGCCCCTCCCCGACTCGAACCCGCGCCTGTCGTCACATCTTTTGCCACCGCTCCTGCGCGAAATGCAATGGGAGACGGCCTCGACCCCGCGGCTGCCGGGCAAAAAAATTATGTGTCCTTCGGGACATCCGTTAAAATTGGAACGACACAGAGAACATTAGCATGGCCCCTGCGCTTTCAAGGATGACACGCATAAATCAAAAGAAAAAAAAAGAAAAAAAAAGAAAAAAAAAAAAAATCTGTGTTGGAGGTGTGGTGTGGACTGCCTTGTCTGCATTCCTCCCCTCCACTGCCTCGCTGCCCATCATCGGCTTGCTATATCGTTCCTTGCAGCTTGTCTTTTCTCTGTGTACTTTGGCTGCCCTGTCAGCCCGGCCTTCTGCCTCTCCCTGTGTCGTTGCTTCGCTACCCATCTGCGCAATTTACCTTTCCACGCAGTTTGCGTGTGTGCCGTGTAGTTTGGCTGCTTTGTCAGTGCCACCTTCTTTTTTTTGTTTTGTTTTTTTTGTTTTACAGAGTCCAGCTTGTTGTAGAGGTTGGATACTAGACATCTGACAGTCGCCCTCGGTTATCGGGCATTCGGTTCTCTCTCTCTCTCTCTCTCTCTCTCTCTCTCTCTCTCTCTCTCTCTCTCTCTCTCTCTCTCTCTCTCTCTCT